TAATTCGTCAAACTGTTATTGGGCCAGTAGGCCAAGATTTTAAACACTTACTCTTGCAAAAATATGGAAAGAACGGAAATGACAGGGTGTGGATATTGAACAATGGATTAGGATCATAAGACCACGGGTTTTAGACATCGAAAAGTCATTTTAAATTAGCTGACTTCATCCCCATGCAAATGCAAGACAGCATCTCGAGAGAGATGATATTAACGTGATGCTATGCTATGGTTTTAGGCCAAGGAGAAATGGCACAGTTAGAAGAGAGCAGGGAAACCTCTCGGGCAAAGCTGAATACATAGAAAGTTAATAAGAGATGTAGTCTTGAAACAAGTAAACTGAAAAAAATATACATTCCATCCTCTCCTCCCCTTATACCTCATTAAATGGCTATATATACTTACTTCCCCCGGCCCCCAGTATTTTCTTGTCCATTTTTCTCAATAACCACTGGATACAATTTAAATATCAGTCTATCGCCGTACTTTTCTGATCCCCATCGCCATATCCTCTCCGCAGCTTCACAAACATTAATAAGCTCATGATGACCGTACCCCTGTGAAGCAGGGAGGTACTATTAAGCTCATTTTACCAATCCCTATCTGGGAAACAGAGAGGTTAAGTGACTTGTCCAAGGTCACGCAGGGAGTCGGTAGCGGAGCTAGGAACTGAGCCCAGGTCTAGAGTTCCAGGACAGTGCCCTGGCCTCATGCTCATCCTTCATCCCCAAAGGAAGACATTTGATCACCAAGAGGACTGTCGCCTTTCTAACCAGCCTGCTCCTCATGAGTAATGTGAAATATTCTAGGCATGTTACACTGAAAAACACGCATTACATCAGACCATTCAAAGGTGCATATCTAGACCCCGCCTCCTCACATGAAGCCGCTCCCACAGTATCCTGGGGCCGACACACCAGAAAATTAAAATGGGCCAACCAGCTCACATTGCAACGGAAGCGCTCCTTGACATGCGTGTGCACGTTGTGAGAGAAAGCCTTGGAAAAGGACAACTATGGGCTGCCCAAATTCCCCTTTACGTCAGTGAGCATTCTGATTTCAGTCAATAAAATAGTGGGGGTGGGGGGTAAGTATTTGAGCCATTTTTCTGTCTGATTTTAATTTCCTTGCATATCAGCATTTGCCAGGAGTATCGTCAACACAAGGGATCATTTGACATCCTCGCTGATTGCATGCAAATTAATTGGATTCTTTGGGTT